GTGCTTCAAAGGTTTTCACCTACGATATTATTTTCAAGTGTTTTTCACTGCTCTATGAACTGTCATAGCCGAAACTCGTCTCTCACATGCCAAAAGTCTTATGAAATGAGTTGGATCTTTTCTAATTGAATCTCTTTAGCCCTAAGTTGAAATGATGATGCCTCATCCTTTTGTGAGCTCTTGATCCAGTTTTCTTCTCTATTGTTCCGTCTTTTTTTCACCAATCTCTTGGTGGTTCTTGAATGGACTTTGAAGATGGAAACCATAGTATGAATGTTCGTACCACTGCTGAAAGCCTGAATGATTTTTTCCTCTCACCATTGCTTAGTGTGTGTGTGTGTGTGTGTGTGGTTTCCGCCATCTTAATTCGGCACCAAGGAAATGAAACTAATTTTAAATATGATGTGCATTTCCTTACAATAAAACGAATCAAAAGATATGATTTTATTCTTTATCAGAAATACCTGTGAAAATGTCAGGGTATTCGTATTTGAATTTTCTGATGAATCATAAAATTTAATTTAATGACTGAACGTGATCTTCCAGGACAATAAAATTTCGGCGCAAATTATTGCATTGTTAAATATCGTTAAATATTTGGGTTTCATAACTTTTTAAAAATATTGGAGGAACCGTAGTGTACTAGATTGCGGCTCGAATTTAGGAACGGAGAGGTGAGTTCGAATTCATTAAGTTCACTTACATGCTAATACCCTTGGAAAACTTGTCACCCGCCATCTACAGTTAAATACTTGGATAAATCGGGTGCCAACCAGTCTAGGACTTCAAAAGATCGTTCGCATTGACTTCAGTCGACTCCAAAGTATTGCAATAACTATCATAAATATGAATGCCGGTCATTATTTAATGATGTAAGTGGGTACAAATGAACAGATTAAAAGCTGACAAGATTTTCCATTCCCATATTTTTTTCAGTCTTTCCTCGCAAACAGAACGGAATGGTCTATTAATTATCTGAGGTAATGACAAGATATATAATATTGCTTCGTCTTCAGCATCTATGTAATGCATTTCGTTCTTCTCACAAAAATGTCAACTTACACCTCACGAAATATTCAAATTAACCACTTGTAGGGTGTACGCTCCCCATGTAGATTTAATGATTATTCTTTTACATCTTTCTTCTGTTTTTATCACCTGACTTAACATTTTTCATCTCTTTTTTTTTTTTTATTTCTCTTTCATTCTTATTCTGTTTTTTTCATTTTTTTTTTAATTTTGTTCCATTTCGTTTCTTTCTTTCGTCAATTGCATTTTTGGTTTTCTTTTCTTTTTTTTCCCATGATTTTTATTCGATTCTTTTTTCTTCATTTTCTTTTTTTTCATGCTGCTCGTTTTACTTTTTCCGTTTTTCTACGTTCTTTTTTTAAAAAAATTATTTCTTATTTAGTTCCTTTATTTGATTTTCTGCCTGCATTGTAAGTTATTTCCTCTTTTCTTATTTCCTTTCTTTCGTTTCTTTGTTATTAAAAAAGTCAAAATAAACTAAACTGTCCCTTCTTTATTTCTTTGCATTTCCTTTATTTCTTTCCGATTTAATAATTCCTGATCTTTCTTCATATTTTCTTCTTTTCGTTGCTTTTTAGTTTCCTTTCTTTCATTTCTTACTTCTTTTCTGTCTTCTTAACTTATACGCTATCCTTTCTTCCTCTTTTGATTTGATTTTTTAATTTACTTTCTTTCTTCCCTGTCATTTTTCTTGTATATGTACATTCTTTTATTCTTTCCTTTCTTTCTGTCCTTTCCTTCTTTCTTTTCTTCCCTTGCATTTTAAGTTCCTTTCTTTCCTTCCGTCAACTCTCTTTTTCTCTTTCTTATTTTTTACAGTACCTTTTCTTTTTTCTTTCCTTGTTTTTTAATTATTTCTTTTCTCGAAATAACTTCTCTTTCTTTTTCTGTCTTCTAATACTTCAAGATATCCATTTTTTCTTTTTTAATGGCTTTTTAATTTTTTCCTCGATAAACTTTTACTTTTCTTTCTTTCTTTCTTTCTTTCTTTCTTTCTTTCTTTCTTTTTTCTTTCTTTTGATCGACCCCATCGATTATATCGTTTCATATTCTATCCTTTTCGATCTTCTTCTTTCTTTCATATTTTCATTAGAATTTAAAATTTAATTTAATTTTTTTTCTTTCTTTACATCATTGCATTCATATTTTATTGCCTTTCTTTTTGTGTTTTTTTTTGGTTGTTTTTTTATTTGATACCTATTTTCCTGTCTTTTATTCTTTTTTTTTGTCTCTATTTTTTATTTCTTCTTCAACTATCTTTCTTTCTTTCTTTCTTTCTTTTTATCAATTTTCTTCTTTTTCTTTTTTTTTAATTCTGTCACACCCTTCCTACCTTCCTTTATTTGTTGTTTCAAATCTTCCAATTATTCCTCTTCTCGCAAATATCATTCACTTATTGAAACACCAACAGCTCCCATTCCAACCTCACCAATTCCATAACGATTCCTGACATTTCTAATTTCTGAGCCTTTTAATTTATTCGCACATTCGGCCAAATATTCATATGACTGACTGTTTTCAATAAATGAATCCGTGTAGATATGGAAAACCTTATTAGGACGTATCAAATCTAACAGCATCAGCAAATAGTCTCCGGCTGTAAAACGTCAGCTTGGGAAATGGTAAAGTAATCATCACATTGATTATATTGCAAGCAACAAACAACAACGGATATGGCGGCACGAAGCAGTTTAGCTCAGCTGCGCCAACCCTCTCCCGGGAGTGCCGAGGAGAACAGAGGTGGTCAGCTGCAACATTTGACGTCAGAACGCTGTAAATTTGATGTATTAGGTGGCATTTTCGGCCACGTGACTCGCTGGAACATCGCCGCATTTTCACACCGAAGTTGGTGGAGGGCGGTAGTGGCGAGAAGTAGACCGCCAGCACCAATAAATAAGATGTTTCTCTCTTTCCTCATCTCTCTCTCTCTCTCTCGCTATCACCCACACACACACTCCGTCTCTCTTTCTTTCTCTTTCTCTCTCGCACACACACACACACACATAAACAGAGACATAAGAGCAATGTAAATTGTCTCGGAAACGAGCATATATTTCTGCAAACATGAACCGCGGTGCAAAAAAAAAAAAAAAAATTTGTACAGAAAATATTTTGGTTGATAGTCTTAAAAGCCAGTGCACGTGGTTCGATCCTTACTGAGAGTATCGTTAATGTACTTTTTGCGGCAGTTTTCACTAAGCTAAGAAAGCATCTAAAGACACCTACCTTATAAGAGAATTGGCAAAATTTTATCCTGAGCTGACCCTCCGCAAAATGTCGTCTTGTGTCAGACGATGTCAAGCTGAATAAACGTTTATTTTTACACATAGACGTTTAAAATTTCACGTAAAGAAGCTGTTAAGCACGGTACCGGGTTATAGAATACATATTATAATTATCAGGTTGATTCATAAATAATTTCTGCTTTTGTTTATCAACTTTTTTCTTAAAAAAAAAAAAAGAAGCAAAATTACATTTTATCTCTCTTTGAATTTCTTAGATGATGAGTTATCATTATTTAGACAATTTACATGCAGACTATTATCCTCATCTTTTGGTCGTTGTTCACTCTGGCTTGCATCAGGTGTATGTCGATCCGAGAAACTAAAAGGAATTTCAAAATTAACCCTTTATTTTTATCCACAAGGATAGATTATTCTCGTTCCATATCTCGGGATATCTCGTCTTATTTTTAGTACTGCTTACTTATTACTCGCGCTATTTCCAACGAGTTCACGTACACGCTGTCCAAACCAGAAATTGAACTCACAATTATGATGTCACCAAATTCATGATAGCCTAGTGGATCTTGGATTCGATGGAAACCTGGCGAGGAATAAGTGAACAGTACTAAAAATAAGAACTAGACGAGATATCTCCTAGATATGTGCAGTGGAACAAGAACAAACTACACCTGTAGATTAAATAAAGTGTTCCTTTTAGACTATCCGGGTCGACTAACCCCTGATGCTGACCGGATGAACGGCCAAAATGTTATGATAATAACAACAAAGATGAGGACAATAATCCGCATTCAAATATTGTCAATAATTAGATTTTATTGAATCATATATTCTACATTATTTGAATGAAACTTTGTCACTTATCAGGCGAAATCTTTTGTGTAAAATTTCACAGTTTTGATGCGAAAAAGTTTTGAACGAACTCTTGGATGTGATTTTCATTAGAGGATGTTTTCCCCATCAAGACGACGAGCAACAATCGAAACCGCGCCTCTTATCTCTTACAATAACCGCCCGTACTACACCCTCCTTCAGTAACCCTCTATCGCGAGTGGCAATTGAACATTAGTAAAGGAAATTACCAAAGTATATTCACCATTACTTGTCACTTATTAGGTAGATGCTCGATATCTTTTGAGTAAAATTTCACAGTTTTGACGTGAAAAAGTTTTCGACGAACTCTTGGATATGGTTTTGAGTAGAAAGGGTTTTCCCCATCAAGACGATTTGCAGCAATCGAAATAGGTAATAATAAGTTGATTTGGTTTGGTTTGTTTTACGGCATATCAACGTGAATGGGTTATTTAATACCGACCAGTTTAATATTTCTGGTAATATTTCTTTGCAAAAATGTATTGCTGGTAAAATTTTTCCAACAATGTATTGCTGGTGAGTTTTTGTTTTTTTTTATTTTATTTTATTTTTTTTTTTTTATTCAAAAATGTATTTCTGGTAATAAAACCTATTTTTACACGTTTTGACTCCAGTTCTCAGCTGGGACCCCAACAAGCACTACCACTCCGGGTCAGGTTGGATCCGGGAACACTAGTAATCAAGAGGTGGTTCCATTCTCCTCAAAACCTCCCGATCAGAGACCCTGCTGCCGGATGCAGTTTATCGTCTTACCCAGGACGCGGATGCAGGACGGAATAATAGATTGGTGCGATGATATGTGAATATAGTGGATGGGGTAGAACAAATATAGACTGCGTCTCTTATCTCTTACACTAATCGATTGTATAACACCCTCCTTCAGTAATTTCTATCTTATGTGGCCCTTGGGTCTTGTGTAGGTTGGACATTAGTAAAAGAAAATACCAAAGTATAGTCATCATTAACTGTTGTCAATCATTAGGCAGCTGTTCGATATCTTTTGAGTAAACTTCTTATGATGATTTTCTAAGCATAGCTTAGATGTGGCACAAAGCATAGGGCACCAAGTAGGGATCGAACTCACTATTCAGTTGTAATTGATGTAGCGAGACAAGATTTCTAACCATTAGACCACATGACGTTCTCTAAAGTCTGCAGGTTATAATGTGAAAAAAGCTCTCGACGAACTCTTCATTCTAGTTTTCATTAGAGGAAATTTTCCCTATCAACGTCTTTTGCAGCGATCTGAAAAGTTAAAATCGTTTGGAACAATAGGGTAGAAGAGGACAGCCGATTTCCAAATTAGTTTTTTGTGTTGTTCTTCCGTTGTCATGGAGGAGAATATCTTTCCAATTGACGAACACATGGCACTTTTCGACCAAACTTTTATAGGCACATTACAGATGCTGGACATATAAATCTGCACTGCGTATCGTTTTAAGAACTTTAAATGAATAATATCTGTTTCCTTTCTTAAATGAAGCTCACCTTTTGCGGTTAGTTCTGGGAAATGTATCCATGTCAATCCACTATTTTTTGCGTTAAGCATTGTCGTATGCAACCCACTTTTCATCACCTATTATAATACATTTAACGAATGGTTAGTTAGTATGACACATTCGTTATACTTGCATACGACAATGTTCATTGCAAAAGGTATTATTGCGGGAAAGTTTATCAATGTTTGCCAATAAATGATTAGTAAAATCTAATTGCGTTTAAAATTTAAAGCTAACAATTATTTCTACTCATTCCTAACAAATACAAGTCGAATGTTAAATAATTTTGAACTTACATGCCTATGTGAAGAAAATGATTTTTTGTAGTAAATGATAGAAGATGAAAAGAAAAACAATAAAGATTATAATACTTTTTTGCGAAAGATATATATATATATATATATATATATATATATATGGTATTATTACATACTAGAAATACCCGTAAAAATTACAGGGTTTTGCTATTTGAATTTTCTGATGAATCATAATTCTTAAGTTAATGATTGAATAAGATCATGGCGAGTTCTACGACAATAAAATATCCATAGAAATATCCTCTATAGCATCGTTAAATATTTGAACCTAACAATTTTAACAAAAAGTTGCAATAAAAATTATAAATATGTGCAGGTCGTTATTTTAAGAAGTAAGGGAGCACAAATGAAAATATTTGAAACTGACAATTTTTTCCATTTCGCTGAAACAGACATTAAACAATTCTATATACATTTTTTTCTTTCTTTTTTAAAATTGTCTCACTTAAACCAAATAGCATCACTGATATGTCTTTTCCGTCTTTTCATTGATAAAAATGGAATAGTCCATTATTTATGATTTATTGACAGGAGACGTTATGAATTTTTTAAAAAAAATTCTCACTGAAACCAAGTAACGTCTTTGACTTGTTTTATTCTGTTTTTCTCCGAGATCAAAACTGAATATCTGTCTGTATTTCTGAGATGAGGTATTATGTACAATAGTTACATTATTCGGACTATATGGCGACAAAGATGAGGACAAGAGTCCGAATAATGTAAATAGTGTACAAAAATGAATAGTCCATTATTTATGAAGTATTGGTAGGACATAATGGCCGTGCTAACTAAGAGAGGGCAAATCAGAATAATATAATTATGTTTTTATTAAATGTATATTTTTTATGTTACATTATTTTTTGAATCGAAAGAATGAACAGGAATAAAGAGAGAATATAAGGAGACTAGAATATTATGAAAAGGAGAAAATAACCACGACCTCCTGCACATGTGCACATGCTCAGACGTACACGTACTCGCATACACACGCACGCACACATACAAACAAGAAGAAAAATTTAATCGAATACCAAAAAAAAAAGAAAAAAAGAAAAAAGGGCATGAATTATTTTTTAGCTTAGTATAAAAATAAGGAAAATTAGAAAATCAACCGACAATTGCTATTATCTCCTGACGAGTGGACCGAACAATCTCACAAAGATTCGTTTACGAAACTCTAGAATAGAGGTGCTAAATAAAATCAGCTAAGTGACAATGTTTATATTTGTATTAATCTTGTAAATTTTATTATACATATAATTTTGTATATCATTACAAATGAAATATCTTGTTGTTGTTTTATTTCCTTTGATTTCTGTTGTATACTAATTTCTTTACGAGTTCCGACCAGAGACCTAAGCTCAGAAATGACATCAAGATATTTTACACTGAGCAGTTTTGGGGAAAAAAATCACACATATTTTACATAGATAAAGCCTTTCGTAAGGTGTGGGCTGTACTTGTGAGTATAAATTTTTGTATTTCTTTAAGGCATGGGCTGCCAGGGATTCCTTCAAT